CTTTTTTACAAGTACTTAGCTAAATCATGGATGACTAAAGCTTCATTGCCATTTTAACACTAGCAAGCAATCTCAAAGATGACTTCAAATAAGAAATAGACTTTATTGATAGTGGGAAAATATTAGATCCACATTGGTTTCCATAGTCTCGTGAACTCATGATTCTAGTGCTTCATGTGTGGACCATCTTCCTTTGAAAATGTAAGTCATCCTGCCTTCATTAGAACTTTCACTTTATGCTTCAGTGAAGTACAGTTCTCAGTCGAATGACCTATAGCTCCTGCATGGTAATCACAACGAACATGTGGGTCGTACCACTTTGGATAAGGTTGTTGTAATGGCTCTACGGGTACGGGAGCTAATAGATTACCTTGAAATAATTGGGATAACAACTCGGTATAGGATATTGGGATCGGATGAAAGCTCTCTCGCTTTAGTTGTCTCCAACTACTATGATTGTCCGGTAATGTTAACGATCTTAGTTGTGGGTCATACTACAGAGCCAATGAGTTTATGGGTACTGTAGAAGGATTGTATACCGCAGATCTTTGTTGGTGCCTCCACTTGCGCTTCGAGATTACTACTTGGACTTTATTTTTCCTTTTAGTAGAGTTTCTATTTGTTTCAGGATGTGGCTCTTTATTAATTAAAGGCACTAGCAGTTGTTCTGTTGCTTCCCCCATCTTTGAGCATATTCTTTCCCTGCAGTTCCTTCAGCATTTCTACTGGTAGCATTTTCTTTTTCTTTACCTTTTAAATTATTTGAGTAATTGGCCTTTGATGTTTRTCCATCTTTGAATGTGAATTCAACCTGGCAGTTTGTAGGAACTTGTTGGCCTTTCTTGGAAAACTAAGCTTCATGTGACGAATTATGCTGGGGGAAGCCTTCTGTTGATTGACAAAGAGGTGGGTCCACCCTAGGTGATAAATTGTTATGAGATTCGACTAAATTGTTAGGTTGAGAAATGTCCCCAACAATATTCTTTAAGACATTGAAAATTTCTGTGATTTGCCCCTGAATCTTATCAATGTCTTGTTTCATCTTCTTTAGCTCAACATCCTGCACCTTCATGACCTGTTCTTGAATCTCGTCTCTTATTTTCTTTAGCTCAGCATTCAATTCATCCATGACCCGCTCGTGGATTTCGTCTCTAATTTTCTTTACCTCAGCGCTAAATTCTTCCATGTTATGCTGCTTTATGTACCTTGTATATAAAGAATAGTAAATATGTGGTTGTTGAGCTGTTTTTTCTAAGAGTTTGTGTTAATTATGATGTATTAAGATTTTGATTTTTTTAAGATAGAAATTGATATGCATGAGACGATGTGATGCAAATGTTGGATCACAAATTAGGGGAATTTTAAATGATTATGCGAAACAATGCATGCGAAATATTGCGTCATTTTTTTTTATATATACTTAGACATATGAAATGATACATTAGAACGATAAATTTTTTAATTTGTGATATAGACATGTAAAATGATGAACAAAAAAGATAGATATTTTTTAATTTATGCTATGGACATGTAAAATAATGTATGCAAAAGATAGTTGTTTTTTTTAAATTTATGCTATGGTCATGTAGAATGATGCATAGAAAGAATATGTTTTTTTTTAATTTATTTTCTTTGAGGAGGAAAAAGATTGTTATCTAAATATGCTACAAATTGCCCCAAGATAAATTAGTACATTCTAACTGCATGCAAATGTAATAGTAGACTCTAGTTCACCCTAAGAGAGAGAAACATGAATATGTACATAAAATTAAACTCTAGGGTTATAAAGCTGAACTCCTAAATTTTCGATAGAAGTGAATAAATTCGAAAGTTTTTGGTGGGCCTACATAGGGACGTTTAAAATCCCTTTGAAAGGCAACACTTCTACCAAAAACTTAAACAAATAGCTAGGAAGAAGTAAGATAATGATTTTTTTATTCTTTTCCTTTATTTTTTTTTAAAAAAGTGGTTCATTTAAAACCTCATGGTTAAAACTCCAAATCAACCCTAAATTTTTTATCAAAACAAACAATATGCCATGAACAACATAACAATCGACATAAATGTAATATGAATATGGTGTGAAGTTATGTACTAATGCATCCTAAAGGGTAATGGCCCCTAAATGTTCCATATGCTTTGGCAGTATGGTCGACTTGAGTGGAGAATTTCATGCACCTGCACGGAAACCGAAATTCCACGAAGGTTACACTACTCAGTCTCCGATCTAATCCTAAAAGGTAAAGCCCGGGTAGGAGCTTTGTGAATGTGTGTGAGATGCATGATGATGCAAAATAAAATAAAAATACAATTAAATGAAGAAAAAAAACAAAAAAAAAATTGGTTACCTATTTTAAAAACATGGTCTACAAAAAACAGATTTTAGGTTCGGGAGTCGACTGAGCGTAGGGGAGGTGTTAGCACCCTACTATACTGTTCGAAAACGGTACCATATTTTATCATAAATTATCCTATTATATGATTTGGTCCAAAAAAATATATATATTTGTGTTTTTATTTAAATGTCTCATATTATATTAATTCACATTTTGTAATAAGATATGAATTAATAGGTATGAGTGGCCCGAATGTCATTAGAAAAAATTTGACACCTCGAAAATATTGGAAGATTCCAATTCCTGTAATTGGAGTTTTTGAAATAAACATTTAGTAAAAAAATAATAAATAAATAAATAATTTATTTTAGGCACATTGAGACTTGAATTTGTGATATATGTGTTAACACTCAAACCTCTCACTAATGTGCCACACCTTAGGATGCAAACTAAGTTTCCTTTTACAAATACAAAACATTTAATTTATTTTTTAAAACTAAAAAAAACTTACGAAGACCTCAAACAAATAAAAAAACAACTATCTTTTTATTTATTTTAAAAAGTTCATTTTAATACATTTTTTTAAGTTGGATTTGATAACTTTTCTTTGTTSTGGCCGATTTCCCGTCGCGTTAGCGTTTTCCCAGTGCGCGAAGCCCCAACGAGGAAGATGTTAGTGGTTTCTCATTGGGTCAATAATCCCAATCCCTCTTTTTGTGCTACTCCTACTCCTAGAGCGGGAAAAAGATAAGAAAACGCGAAGCGTTCTCTTGGTTTCCCAACCTCTTGCTTCTAAAGGCTGCCCTCTCTCGGCTGGATGTTGGTCCAGCCTACTACGAGGATCCCGTATCCAGCAACCCAACCTAAAAAAAGGGCATAAAAAAGCCTTATCTAGGTTGGAACTATGAAGCTGACCTTATTATTATTCAAAGGGTAAAGGGCTTTTTCAKCTGGTGCGCAGGAGCGCACTTCTGTTTTCCCTTTACTAGACTAGTGGGGGGTCCCGTGGTTCCTATATCGCCGCGTTTCCCGGTCCTTTTCTTTTAGTGCTTCGACCCGAAGCAATAGCTTAACAAGTCATGCCCCTCTGTAAATATTTGAAAATTTGGAAATAATAACAATAATAATAAGATTTT